TGTGGAAATGAACCAAAATATGACTCTAGCCTATTAAGAACTTATCATTGAACAAGACAAATCATTGGAACATGAGTAACTTAAAAAATGTAGTAAATAGGAGGGGAAAAAAATGGCAGCATGAGAAATGAGGCAGAAACCTTCTCCCAAAAACCACATATAACACAAAAACACAGCAAATACAACTAATCCAGGAAGTCTGACCTGAAGACTGCAGAACAGACTGCCTACATCTGGAGAAAAGAGAAGACCTCACAGAAAAGGGTAATGTAACAAAGTCACAAGCCGGCAGTATCCAAGCCTTCCCCCTACCCCCGCCCACAGGTGGGAGGAAGAGAAACAGAGTCGGGAGAAAGTAGAAGCCCAGGACTGCTGATCTGCTGAGGAAGTAGAAACCTAGCCCTGGAGATCTGCTTTTGGGAACACAAACTCACATTACACGGTGCCCTGGAGATTAGCGGGGTTGAGGAAACAAAGACACATGGAATACTCATAGAGACTGAGATTCCAGCCACTTGTGGAAAACAGGTATGTGCTACCAGCCCCCAGGTACAAAAAAAAGAAGAAGGTCATTTGAAGGATTTCCCAGCAGTGGAGAGGGGTACTAAAGGGACAAAGATTACACAGAGCTCTCTGTTCAGTAAAAGGGCAGGTTGACAAACCAATCCTAGCATTCTCAGCCTAGCAGGTTAGAAACTCTCAGGAGCTTCAGACGCTCCATCTCCCTGGCTGGCAACACATGCCTGAGGCCCCACACTGTGGTATGCAGCCTGTCACTCCTTCCTCCTGGCAGGCACCAGTTCCACATACCTTCAGTCCCCACAATCACAACAGGCCAGCCTGAGCATGGCCACACCTATGGTAGCTATAGGGGCATACCACAGAGGATCCTCACTGCATGCACGGCCCCCTGGACCTGGAAGTAGAAGCAGTGTTATAATTAGGAAGGCAGGAAAGAGATCTTTCCTCACCTGCAAGCACCAGTTCCACTCACCTGCAACCCCCGCCATTGCTGCAGGTGCTTGATAACACCAGAGAGTAGAGCTTCTGGGCACTAGTGGGTGGCACCTACACAAAATTAATACAGCATAAAAAAGCACTAAAAAGATGAAGTGATGAAGGATTTTGGTCCAAACAAAATTATAAGAAAAAATGCCAAAAGGAGGACTTAGTGAAACTGAAACCACCAATCATCTTGATAAAGATTTCAAAATTAAAGTCATAAACATGCACACAGAGCTACAGAAAAATATTCAAGATCTCAGGGAGGACTTCAACAAAGAGACAGAAATTTTGAAAAATACCATATCTGAAATGAAACATACAATGGAGGGATTTAAAAGTAGATTAGATGAGGTAAAAGAGATGGTAAATGATAAAAAAATTAGAGAACAGGAATACAAAGAAGCTGAGGAACAGAAGGAAAAAGATTTCTAGGAATAAAAGAATATTGAAAGAACTATGTGACCATCCAAATGGAACAATATTCACAGTGTAGGGGTACCAGAAGAAGAAGAGAGAAAAAGAGATAGAAATTGTCTTTGAGGAGGTAATTGCTGAAAACTTCTCCAATCTGGGGAAGGAGATAGTCTCTCAGGCTATGGAGGTACACAGATCTCCCAACACAAGGGACCCAAGAAGACAACACCAAGACATATAATAATTAAAATGGCAAAGATCAAGGATAAGGACAGAGTATTAAAAGCAGCCAGAGAGAGAAAAACAATCACCTACAAAGGAAAACCTGACAGGCTATCATCAGACTTCTCACAGGCCAGGAGTGAGTGGCATGATATATGTAAATGCAATGAAACAAAAGGCCTCTAACCAAGAACACTCTACTCTGGCAAGATTATCATTTAAATCTGAAGGAGAGATTAAACAACTTCCAGATAAGCAAAAGTTGAGAGAATTTACTTCCCACAAACCATCTCTACAGTGTACTCTGGAAGGACTGCTATAGATGGAAGTGTTCCTAAGGCTAAATAGCTGTCACCAGAGAGAACCACAGTAAAGGAATTAAACCAATTAATTACTAAGCAAATACAAAATTAAATCAACTACTCACAAAGTTAGTCAAGGGATACATAAGGAGTACAGAATATGACACCTAATATATAAAGAGTGGAGGAGGAAGAAGAAGAAGTGGAGAAAAGGAAAAGAACTTTTAGATTGTGTTTGAAATAGCTGTAAGTGAGTTAAGATAAGACTGTTAGGGTCTTAAGTAAGGAAGCTGCCCTTAAATGTCTGGTAACCATAATCTAAACCCTGCAGTGGCAATAAGTACATATCTATAGATAATCACCGTAAATGTAAGTGGACTAAATTCACCAATCAAAATACATGGAGTTACAGAATGGATAAAAAACAAGACCATCTATATGCTGCCTACAAGCATTGTTTTGTGTGAATAAAACCAATGTATGTGCTCTGTAATAACAATATTGGTGCCTCAGTTGTACAAGTTTACTTTAGTGTTGTTTGATGTGTAACTGATTTGAAGTATAATTGGTCAGAGCTAGATAGAGAATGCAGGTGATTTAAAGATCTCTAAATATTTGACACTGGCATATGCATACAAAAATTCATACTCAGATCCAAAATTAATAGTATATGGATGTCAGCTATTGCCTATTGAAATCCACACTGAGAGTGTTATAGTTGGGACCCTTTCAGAAAATAGTGTAAACTGATGCATACAGTTATAGTCTTTACTATACTTCTTGTTAAGAAAAAAAACAGAAATCTATTTTATTTTTTCTTAAAGTTGTTTTAATATCTCAAAGCAGGTATACACAAAGAAATGGGAACAATAATTTTAATGGTTTTTTACTTGCTGATTCTTTAAATGGAGGATCCTCATGTCTCCCTTTTTGTATGAATTAAAAATAAGGAAGAATAATTAGCTAGAACATACTTTTTGACATCTACTCATTTATATATTCATTAAGCAGAAATTTTTAAGTGCTATTTATTAATAGCTAGTTCCCTATCCATGTGGATCCCACATTCCAGTGAAGAAGAGAGATAATACAAAATTACATAAATTAAAAATATAATTATAGGTTGAATAGGAAGGGGTACACTTTGGGGTGTCAGGAAAAAACTCTTCGAGAAAGTGACTTTTGAACTGAAACCTAGAGCATGAAAAGGGTCCAGTTGAAGAGCATTCCAGTCTTCATTTCCTAAAAAGTAAAGGCCTTAGGTGCTGAGATCATGGTTTGTTAGGGGAAAAGTATGTAGGAATCCAATAAAAATGAGGTATAACTGTATAAGATAATATTTGAGAGGTAGGCTGTAGCCAATTCATGTCAAAGCTTAAAGGCCACAATAAAATAATCGGATTTTATTCCAAGTGCAATAGAAAGCCATTGAAGAATTTTAAGCAGGGTAGTAGAATGATAATTTATGCTTTAAAAAGTCTACCCTGGCTAGAGTGTGAGTGATGGATTATAGAAAGGGTCATGAATTTAATCAGTGAGAATAGGTGGAAGGTTTTTTTCTGTATTCTAGGTGATAAATGATGGTGGCTTCCACTGGTGAAAGGATAAAGCCAAATGAATTCTAGCTATATTTAGGGCACATAATTAACATGGAAAAGAAAGTTATTTAGGAAGATTCCCAAATTTCTGGCTTGAGTACAAAACAGATAAGTCAATATCCTGGGAAGTAGGGAAAGTTCTAGGAAGATACATAGGGAAAATCAAGACTTACAGTTTGGATTAAGTTTGAAAGGTAACAGATACCTTGAAGATTAAGAGAATGGGTCTGAGAAAGGCTGAAATCCTACTGTATTGATTACTAGTGGTGATCTTGAATAATTAAACTGTACCTTAGTTTTCTCATCTTCAAAAATAAGATTAATAATACTTCTTTAGAGGGTTGCTGTAAATATAAAATTAGATAAATTTTCTAAAATGATTAGAACAGTTCCTTGTCACTTCCATTGTAAACAACACATTAATAATGATCACTTTTATTATTGGTCACACAGGTAGTAATGTCAAGTAGAAATCTAATATTCAAGAGAGAGGTTTGATGGAAGTGATTGACATTCTAACTATTTTAAGAAAGGATTAGTATCGAATTAACATGTACACCTTAAATTTGCAGTGTTATATGTTGAATACATTTCAATAAAAAGGGAAAAAAAGGAAAGCATTTTACCTCATTACACTTATTTGAATTAATAAAAATAATCCTAGAAGAGCTTTCACTGATTTTCATCACATCTTTTTCTCTCTCCTTTATCCTCCCCTTTTTGTGGATTGTGGTAGAGAGTTGAGGTGGAGTTTGGAAGTAATGAAAGAAAAAAAATTGTCACTAAACAGTGGGAAAGTCATATTCTAATTCTAAAAATAACATTTCATTTCCCTTCATTAACTTTACAATTACTTCAAAAGTAGATTCAAGCTTTTAATTGATTATATTTAAAATTTCCTACACAAATAGACCATAGCTATTTTTGATGACAGGTTTTCAGATTCATCTAATAATTATTAAATACTGAAACCACAAGGAATAATTTTGCATATTGACCTCACTGTCAAATGTCTAACATTTGAAATGGCGTACTTATGAACCCAAAAAACACATTCTCATTTAAGTCTGTTTTCTCCTTCTCTGCTAACAACTACAATATAACAAAATACTATTTTGCCTTCTGTAGTTAAAGGTTGAAAATCTTCAAATATATAAATGCATTTGAACATGAGTTTCATGCATCTATTTAATAAAAAAACACATAATTTAATGAATCCCTGGATGGTAGATACTTTTTCATGTTCTGAAAATTCTAAAATAAACATGACAATGTATTTGCTTTCAAGATATAAAACTCCAAACATGACAAGTAGGTTAATCTCTATTCTGTTTCTTTAAAAGATTTATAGAACAGGTGCTATGTAAATGTGAATTATTTAATTATTATGGCCATTAATATATGGAGATTCTTCCAGAAACAAGTATAATTTTTCTTTTTATATATATATTTTTGACAGTCATGAAATACGATCACGTGAAGAGGCTCAGAGCAGAACATTGAAAGTGGCCACCATCAGCATGAGGAACCTAAGTAAAACTGGTAGGTGGGAAAAATGATCCGTGAATATCGTTTTCTATGTGTCATTAAATTTGCTGATATTATTTCTTATGCAAAAAATCTTCAGTTTACAAACCAAAATGAGTGTATCTGAATGGAGAGGGCCTTTTGGAATTTATTCTCATTATATAGACCTGTGGAGATGGTATTCTGTGGGAAAAGCCACCAGTTTTATAATACCTATATGATTTTGTGTAAGTTGCTTAACTCTTTCTTAGTTTCCTTATTTTAAAATGGAGATTACAGTAGTTATCTTGTTATGTTTCCTAAGAACTAAGTAAGAAATTGCATAGAAACAATTGAGTAGTTTCCTTAGCACAGAAAAGGAGCCTAAAGATATGACTACTATTTATTGAATATTCTCCATGTGCCAAGTACTAAATGCTAAATACTGTACTATTTATTGAATATTCACAAAAATCCTTATACATAGAAGCTTTTATCTTATAGATAAAGAAACTGTGCTATTGAAAGATTATGTGATTTGTCTATAAACCACATATTTCTCCTTGAGACAGACTGAGTGCAGTTCTGTCTGCTGCCTGACTTTCTGTACTTGTATTTATTCATAAAGTCAAGAAACATTTATTGGGTACCTAATAAATGCCAAGCTTTTTAGCTGAGCTGCTATGCTATTACCCAAATGATTATTGCTTAGACTATAATAACTGTATATTTATATGAGACATTATAGTTTACAAATAATTTATGAATAAGTAATTTTGTTCAGTATGCATGTACTCTATATGGAAGACAAGACAGGACAATACTTACATTTTTACAGTTGAGGTTCTGAGAGGTTAACTGGCTCACTAGACGTCTTAGAGCTCAGTGCTTCTCAGACTCTGTGGTTAAGGGTCAGTTTATTTTTAGTCCATATGAGTCTATTGCAGATTTAATTTTTTGTAAAATTACTAAAAATTAATTACTAGAAAAGTGAAATGACTAAAAGGCAGACACCAAATAAACTAATATACATTTTTATCATTTGTCATTATTCTTTAGACATAAAATTACTCTATAAATGGCAATAAAAGTCTCCAATGTTTTTTTCCAATGTCCGTAGTCCTTACGGTACAGATAGCATTTGCAGGCTAGCACTAACCTGTAGACCAAACAGTAAACCATTTAACAACCAATAGGGCTTATATGAGGCAACTCTAACACTAATCCTAGACCTTCCATCTTCAAGTCTGGATCATTTCATAGTACTCCACACCTCCTCAACATACAGCAAGAAACCTCTTGTGGTCTAAGGAATAAAATCAAATTCCAAATTATTGAATGAAACAGAAAACTGACAATGACAAAACATCTTTAAAGCATTACACAAAATAACTGACATGAAAAACATGAAAAAAAATTGGAAGTTTATGAGAATTATTTACTTTAAATGTATAAGAAATCAAGAGTAAAACATTTGATGTGTGATACATTGCTGAAAGATTTTCTTAAGGTTTTTTCTCTTTTTTCACTCTGTTTATTTTTTGAAAAGAGAACTTAGCTTGTATTAAAAGATACAAGTAGACATAATAAAGGTACAGCAAAGGGAATATAGTTAATTATATTGTAATATCTTTATATACTGAAGGATGGTAACTCCATTTATCATGATAAGCATTTAATAATGTCTATAATTGTTGAATCACTATATTTTACACCTGAAACCAATACAATATTACATGTCAACTATATTTCACTAAAAAAGTGGATCTTTGTGAGCTATGAATGAAAATAAACTCATCTCACCACTACACTGAAGGAGCTTGAAAATAAATGTCACTTGTTCTTTTCAAAAACTACTGAAAAAAATCAGCATTTTTGGTGCAAAGTAAAATGCACATTGGGTCAGGAATGAAAATTTACTTTGTAAGCTTGTTTTGCGGCTCTCTCAGTTCTACTGAAATGGATCCGAATATTTACATATGCTATTTTATTAATAACTATTTTGCCATCTGTATCAAACTAATATTGCACAGATGTTGAGGAATAACTTTTGGTTGTGAGTAAATTTTAGAGGAACATTAAATTTTTCTCCAAATGATGCTGATGGAATGTTTTTCTTAAATCATTTTTTAATATGTCAGAAATAGTTATTGTTTTAAAGTTCTACTGCCTTATCAATGCTTGATGAAGCTTCAGATGTCTACAAGGGCATAGAGAAAGATGAAAATTTATGACAACATTCAGACTGAGAGTTTCAGCCAATCTGTTACTGGCTTCTGGGAAGACTCCTCATTGCAAAATTGGAATTCACAGTCTGAAGTAGAGTGAACCCTGGCCTTAAATAATATAGAAAAACTCTATGTTCCTCACTTGCATTTTGTTTCCTGACTCAGAGATCCAAGATTTGTATCATTCAGGATGTTAAGCAGTCATGCCTGGAGGTCTCTCTCATATCTTATCCATTTGAGGATTATTTCTTCTGCTCCCTCCAGAACAAGGCAGAAAGGAAGGAAGGATTTAGAGAAACATATTGCATCCAAGTTGAAAGAGAGAGAGTCCCAGTAGGCATTGTAGGTGTGGTAATAATGGGAATAGACAATAGTACTCTGTGATATGTATGTGCGTGTGTGTGTGTGTGTGTGTGTGTGTGTGTGTGTGTGTGTGTGTG